AGCTGTAATTTATATATCAGTATTTCTTTTTGAAAATATTTTAAGATATTTAACTTTCAGCCTTGTAATCCATATTAATTAATTTTCAGTTAAGAACTAAATTTTGACTTGGAAAGTTCCTATACTTTTCAGTCACGTCAAAATAAAAAAAATGAGCGTATCTCTAATATTTCTTTATTCTAAATGTACAATTTGAAATGTCCTTGTCTAGTGCAAATTTCCGAGCAGCTTTTGCTGTTACATATTTGACTCATAAAAAAGCAGAAATCTGTCGCTTGGGAAAAGAACAATATTTTGTTTCATAAACATGCATTTTCACTATGCTAATTTTTTTTTCGAGCAGAGGAGTTAGTTACACATGTCAACGAAAATTTCGTAACAGAATATAGAAGTCTCTTTTTCCTTTAGACATGCTCTCAAAATTTTCCTTAGGCCACAAGTTTTGAGTAACATCCTTTACTCTCATTGTTTGAGTAACATCTTTTACTCTCATTTGTACTTGTAAGCGCTTCTTAAATATACCGAAATGTATCAATATTTAAATTATGCATGTATAGGTATGTATAGTGTTCTGTTGAAATTTAATTTGTAAGAAAGATTTTTCTTTATATATACAATACAAGTTGTTTTTATATTTGTTTATGGTTTTTGTTAGTTTTGCAGTTCTAGTTTTCAATTAACTATAAAGATGAATATGGCGTTTGTTGTGCAACGAAAAGGTGGAGAAAGAGCATTTAGTATTTTCTGTAATACTCAATAATTTGTCTAATGGTTCAATCTCAATGACTTAAACAGTTCATCTTAGCCTTTACGTCTGTCCAAGTTTTCAACAGAAGCTTTAATCTTAATTTTCAGACCGTACATAAATTATGAGAATGTATTCATTAATTTAATTTTATTTTATTTCATCCGCTTTAGTTACTTTATTCGCACGAATAATTTGTATTAAGTTATTCATTTAGTTAAATATCTTTTTTTTCCTTTCTGAATGTTTTCCATTCTCAGTAAACAACACAAGCCAAGCGCAATATATAAATATTTTTTAAAGAACTAGATTTGAAACAATAATGATTTGGGGAGAAAATGCCTAAAAAAGAAATACAAGCAAAATTTTTGGATAGAAATAAGCATTTCTTTGTCTTTTTTTTTTTTTTTTTTTTTTTTTTTTTTATGTTGTTGTTGTTGTTGTTAAATTGTTTTAGATTTTCTGTATGCAAAAGTTTAATTGCAGGACTTTCTAACAAAATATTAAAAGATTCTCTGGCGTAAAAGAAATTCTCTTTGAAATAATTAGGGAAATAATTCAAAATTATTTTATATCCTAATCATTGAATGATCATGATAAACATATCGTAATAACATTTTGCAAACCATCCATTTTTAATGGACCCTAATTAGGCATCAAACCTCTAAATGCATTCATAATAATAAGAACTTCAAAACTCTATATATCTTCAAACGAAGGAAATGTGAAATTATTCATATTGTTACGAATTTAGTATTTAAATAGCTAATGTTAGTTGAATTGTAAATTAAATGTTTTTATTTCCCGCGCAGTGCAGCGCGTGGCGAATATTAAAGGAAAGCTAAGCCGGAAAATTGAAAATACAAGAGCACGTGCATTTAACATTAAATAAATAAATATCCCTTTTTGATTTCGAGAAAGTTCCAAAACGTTCTCGCGCGCGATTTAAGAATCTTATAAAAAGGAGGAAAACCTCTCAATTTAGTCAGTGATTTTAGTGAGTTACAAGAGTTTGTTAGAAAACTGCTCTTGTTGACTCTAGCGAATTCGCAGATTAGCTTTCTTTTAGCTGTTTTGAATTAACTTTTGTTGAATTTTTGAGTAGTTGAAAGATAACTACAGTGAAAAATTGTAATACTGAAAGAATATCTGAGGGAATTTAAGCATTTTTATTGTGATAATAATAAAATTTTGTCCATTTTTCATCGGACTTGTGCATTCAATTCAAACGAAACCGTACGCACGCAACAATATGTATTATATTAAGAATTTTTTATAAAAGTCCTTTCATTAAATAATTTTTTCTTCATTTTTGAAATTTATTGTCGCATATTAAAAAACTAGCATATTTTATGAAAAACTAAGTCACTGTTTCCTCTAATATAAATTAAAAATGAATTTTCTCCTATAACAAAAGAATTAGCAAATTTGCATCACTTTTAACTGCCGATGCTTCTTACTTGTTAAAATGAGCAAATGAGGACTTTCTAAAAGTATATGTACCTAATTGCTTTAATAACCTATGGAAAGAATAAATTTGTTATATGTAATACATTTTTTTTTAATTTGTATTTTTTTTAATGAAATTTTTCTGTAGAGATTTCGCCAGTACATTTGAAAGCCAGACGAAGGCTGGCAGCGTAGCTGCTAGTAACTATAAAGAAGCTCTATAAATGCTGCAATTACAAGGATTTCTACAATAACTAATTAAGATTAATATATGGAAATAATATTTTACAAAATATATCATTAAAAGGTGCTTTGAAAATTTTGTTAACTTGACTGAATTTTTCTCTGCTATTTACTTTAATTCGCTTTAGCTATATGACAAAAAAATCAATAAATAGTTTTCAACTATTTATTGACGTATAGTTTACCTATTTTAAAACGTCTTTAAGCAAAGAAATCTCAACTGCTTGAAGAACTTAACATTGTAGAATAGTTTAATTATTTAATATCATCAGGATTCCTGTATTAATTATTCAAATAAATGAATGAAATTTATTCCTAAAAAAGAAATGAAATTCAGGCACAAAAATATGACAAATTCAAAATCTTTAAGTAATCCGATAAATCAAAAGGAAAGCTTTATACCGCTTGTTATTTTCCCGTTTAACAGAATTAAATTACATGATGCAAGAGAAAAACGGAAAATTCATTTTTTTCCTTATAATATGTTTCTAAATTAAATCCATGCGTTTTTAACCCTCTCGCTGCGCATCCTGCGATTTCCACGGGCAACGTAAAAGTAGCAAAATTTGCGCAACCTTCGATTTCCGCGTGGAAAAATTTTTGCCGTTTATTTAATTGTGCAACCCTCTATTTCCCCGTTCAAAGGTTTCCTTTCGGCTTTTCTGTGATGTTTAATTGTTTATTTAGATGTGGGCTAACAGATGGCGTTAGTTGTCTACATTTCTGCCAAATAATGAAGAATTCGTTAATGTAACATTTTGCGCGCGCTTTTCAGAGCTCAAAGATGTCTGGCAGGAAGCGTTCGCGAGTGATATAACCTATATTCCTGACGATATTTCTGACACTGATAGTAGTTCTGACTCTGAATTCAAGTATATTGAAGATAGTTATAGCGAAACTGATGAGAATTTCTCGGATTTCTCTGCAGATAGTGCTGAATTTGAAAATTCAGTTTCCATTGAAAACGTTCAACAGTGGTGCAAAACTGATATGCAAAATATTACATTATGCAAATATTTTCATTAGTGTATATGTTTTACCTTTGTATTTTATAAAATGAATCATTTAATCAATAATAATTTTCAAAATTTTCCTTTTATATCATTATTCCTCAATTTCAATATTCTGACAACCTTGTTTATCATCTAATTCTATATTGAAAAAACTCCTTTACAAAAATGTTTGTATATTTTAACTCTAAAATATATGTAAATTTGAAATAATGTAATACAAAAATACGCAATTTTTGAACCTATTTTGATAAAAAAAAATACACAGTGAGAAATAAATATATTTAAGTTCATTAATAATTAATATAATATTAACGAAATTAAATATATCCAACTATTTATTGCAGTGAAGCTGTTAGAACTCTCTGCCTCTAAGGAAGCACTTGTAGAGTCAGTTCTTCTGTTTTCATATTGTACATGGAAAGAAATTGTCAAATACCTCATATTATTAACTAATTCAATAGCAGGCAGTTATTTCGACTTGCCAGTATTCAGCTGTTTTGTCCTTCAGCTCATGATATGCTGCTTTTATTAGAGTAGGAGTATTAAAATTTAAATAAATTAAGATAAAATGCTTTAGTACTTATTAATTAAGCATAAATTAAATTGTTTCCTGTTAAAGAATTTAATTAATTTAAAATCCGAGTAAACTACAAACATTTCTGTACTTACGTTTATAACACACGCATTTCTAAAATATAAGCATTTGTAAAGGAGAATAAATTTTAAAGTAACGTATGAGTATTTTAAAGCAATATTTTAGACCTCTTAAGTAAACAAGAGACATTTTTTAATGTATACAACTGTAAAATTGATAAGTAGGATAGGTGGATGCCAAAATTAAAATGATACATTAAGCAAATGCGAAATACAAATAGTAGGCTTAATACGTCGGTAGGCTTAATTGGCTCGTTTATCATTTTTCATTCTCTACTGTTTTTAAATATGAGACCAAATATTTTTTATTTTCTAATTTTAAAGTGCAATTGCGACTTAACATAAACTTGACGTCTTAAACTCGGAGTAATACGATATATTATCTCAAAAATCTGTATTATTTCAAGCAAGGCTTCTATGAATACGCCAAAGTGCGAGATACTATATTAATTACCCTGTAATGAGTGTTGTGTAGAAATGAATAATTTAGATAAATTGCGATTAACTATTTACTAATTGATATCTAACCAAGCATTTGCTTTAATTTACAAATTGGAAACATCAAAAACATTTATGTTTTAAAAACACTGAAGCTTACATTTTAAAGGTAGAAACCTGCTTGAATGACATATACCATATCAGGCAATCTGAGTTTACTTTGTTTACTGTATTAGTATTAATACTAGTATGTAATATATGCAGCATTTGAATCTTAAAATTCTGTGATTTAGTTTTCTATTTTAGAACAGTCCGAATCCTTAAAATTCCATTGTACTGATCAGCATTGAATTTTGATTAAATTTGTACTGATCAGTACGAAACATTTCTTTTCTAAACTCAAATCTTCTCTAAATGTTTTGGAAAAATGCTGGTGTAAACACTTTCAGCAAAAGATATATATGATAATTTTTTATTTTTGTGAGTTCTAAAATTATTAAAATGACAAGATTTCAATATAAAATCATGCAAAAAGCTTCGAAAAATCAAATGATGCGTTATCTTCTTGAAATATTGTGAATATTAAAATTCCCAATATTATGGTGGCAAATCCACAAAAATTAGCTAAAATTACATCACTGCTGCTAGTTTTCCAGACCTTGAAAAGTAATGCTGATCCTAAAATTACAAGCGCTGAATATAAAACATAATACTGAGTTGTCACTATCATGCTATTATAACACATGAGTGCTTTATTCAGATATTCCAACTGCAAAAAGAGACAAAGAACTGCAGTAAGTAGACATACCCAAGGTAACCAATGAAATGAAGAATCCGTAAAAGCAATAACAATTCCTTTCATTCCAATGACAATCATTGATCCAAAAATTGCACTTTGAATTGTGTATGACAAAGAGTTCTTTTTACCCCATTTTGGAATCCCATATAGGAGCATAAAAATTGTTGTGAGACACAGAATAGAAAGGTAAAAAAGGACTAATGGAGTAGACAGCATGAAAATTAATGTTTCTGCATTACCAATATAAGGCTCATTAGGTATGTGGAATGCAATCACCCAGCATCCTCCAAGACATAATGCACATGCCAGTTTTCCATATTTATTAATCTTTTCATTAATGAACGTAGAGGATGCTATCGCAGCAACCAGAACTGTCAGCATCTGTAAGGTACAAACTACAATGGCAGGGGCGAAGTAGAAAGCTATAAAATGCAGCAAATCTCCAAGCATCATAGGAAAATGCCCTACCCACCAAGCTTTGTCGCGGTAATAAGACTTTGCTCTGTCTAAATTCATAAGACTCTTCTTTTTTAAAGCAAAACTGAGGCCACATAATGTGCTAGATATAAGAGAGAGAGCCGATCCTACGATAGTGCTAGTTAGACCAAATTTCTCAAATTTAAGAGATTTTTTTTCCCACTTTCTATCGAAAAGTAAAACTTTTTTCAGAGATTCTTGAAGTCTGTTAGAAAAATCTTGATTTGTATTATTAAGTTCTTTTTCAGAAAAATCTCTTTTGATGAAATCAATTTCCAAGCCCAGTTGGACGCGGGATGTTTTTCTTTCATGGTGATTTTCTGTTATTTGAACCAGCTTAGCTCTTTCTACTGAGCCTATATTAATAGTTTTTAAAGATAAAAGAAAGAAGGAATGCAGATGCTTATATTTACTGCTGTCTGGCAAAAATATCTTTTCTGTTACTTTCCCGTCATAGTCATTTGGTAATAAATGCTTGACTTCTAAAACTATTACAAGAAATAATCGTGTTAATGTCGATTTATCTTCATTAAATCTCTTTCCATGAAAAGTTGCTTTACCTACATCTGTCGTCTTAAATGGTAGTCTCAGTTCTTTAATTAACGGTGATAGATGCTCCACTGTGTGCGAAATGCAATCTATTTTATGTTGAATCGCTTCTGCACTTTGGTTATCGGAAAACAAAAACGTTTCAATTTTATTAGGTTCTGGGTATTTTGAACTGCTGGCTGTTTGCTTTTCTTTGTAAAAATCGTTCATTTCTGGTGGAAAAGTCGTTTTTATCATTTGCACCCCATTTTTTCCAGAATGAGATTTTTCAGATTCTTCTTGATCAGAATGTGTACCTGAAAAAAAGCATAAGTTAGATTTGCTTACGTAAAATAATTATTACCTAGATCTTAACAACTTGTAATGTGCAAGGTGCCTAACAAATCTACATAAAGACATATAAAATGTGAGTGTTTACTCTCTCGCACCAGTAGAGGCCAAAATCGTTTTCACCTAAACATTTGAAATGCCCGTATGTATGTTTTTCTTGGGAATGGATTTCCTTCCCCCCATGCCAAGTAGAATGCTAGAGCGCTAACAATAACCAACTTAAGCGACAACTTCTCTCTTGCGGATCTTCATACGCTTTCACCATAGTAGGCAGTTTCCCCTTAGGATAGGATTGAAACTTTGGATATCAAAAGTTAAACACTGACGCTACACAAAGGAGAAGGAAGCTGCATTAAAATAACAAAACTATTTTTAGTCGCTACAAAAGAATGATTTGCATGTCATTTAACAATTCCCGAAACCTATGAGCCGTACACTAACATGATGGGAAAATGGGCGTTTTCGCCGACTTAAGGTGAAAGAGTTGAACTTTCATATGATTAACTTTGGAATTATGAAACATAAAAAGTATCTTCCTAACCACATACAAATAACACTATGGATACACGGAGCAAGAGCTCATTTACAATCAATAGGCACTGATTTTTCTGAGGCTTTTATATAATTCATAGATTGCCGAAATTCCGCCCTCGGAAAAGAAGACGCATCCGGCAATCCTTCGAAGATTTGATCGTATAGCAGTCGTAGATTACAGATAAAATTTCTTCTGCGAGGAGACAAATGCAGCACGCTCATGAACTGCATTCTTATATGTTAGCAGGAAATAAGAAGATTTCGGTACCAGTCCTGTTGAACCTAGAAGACGAGTAATCATGAATTCTCATAATTTCTCTATTTATGAATGAATGCATGGGATTCGAGTACGTGTATCATGATATTCCAAATTTTCATTATAGAAATGGGAACGGATGTTTGTGAATGTTGAGGTTTAAACGTTTGTGGTGGCTGGCGGCTTGTACCGCATTAAATTGTTTTATTCCCCGTGCAGTGCAGCGTGTGATGAATATTATGTGAAAGCTAAACTGGAAAAATTAAAAATACAAGAGCACTTGCATTTAACATTTAATAAATAAATAAATATCTCGTTTTGATATCGAGAAAATACCAGAAAATTCTAGCGCATTTAAAAAGCTTATATAAGCGGCATGAAAACCTCTTAAAATTCGTTCACCCATGATATGCCATGATATGCAGTTTAGCAAAACTTATTTTATGAGCTTTCTCATTTATTGATCTCGCTTTCAGGCGCGGTTATTTTTAAATACACCACTTAAATTTTTAACTTTACGGCCTATGGTATAATGATAATATACTGGTAAGAGCTCCTAGTAGGTAAAGATATGATTCAAGATCCAAGATCTCAATTCGTTCGTTAGTTAGTTGTTGTTTTAAGAGTTTGTTTAGAAAACTGCTCTTATTGACTGTAGCGAATTCGCGGATTAGTTTTCTCTAGCTGTTTTTTAATTAAGTTCTGTTGAACGTTTGAGTAGATAAAAGATAACTACTGTGAGATATTGTAATACTGTATGAATATCTGTGGAAATTTAAGCATTTTGTTTAATTTGTTGTAATAATAAAAAAATTTTGTTCAATTTTCATCGGACTTGTGCATTCATTTCATAACGAACCCGTGCACACGCAATAATACGATAGCTGCTTTGAAAATAATTCACGTGCAAAAAGGTATAATTTTCCTTCAACTTTTATTTTCTTATTGTTTAATTCTGTAATAGTTCAGATTGTGACTGAATTAACGGTAATTATCCGGTGTCGGTGTAAAGGCATCAAATCAGAAGAAATATTTCATTCGCGAAATTTACAAACGTTTATTTGAAGAAGATCATGAATGAGAATCATTTACATCTCCTGAGATAAATATTTCTAAAATCTTTCATAAAATCGCATTATTCAATGAACAAGTACCCAATACTTTTTAGTGTATTTTTTTCCTGCAGTGCATCTCAAAAATTACAGTAAAAATAAAACTTTCTTGCTCTCGATAAACATTAGTCACTCAACTCTTAACGCCCCCAAGAAAGTACAGTTCTAAAATTCTTTAAACTAACGGGAAAAGAATTCGACCTGTTGCCACCAAAACGTATGTGAAATAGAATTAAAACTGCAAGATTATGTTTATGCACTTGCTCACATATGGGAAAATGTTAAGGTGCAGTTTGCAATGAGGGAATGTAATGGTGCAGTTGCCAACAGTAAACCTTATATAAACTAAAAATAATCTAAGTTTGAGTAAAAAAGATTTAGAATTTGTCTGGCAACTGTGTCTTGCTTGTATGCTATTTTACGAGGTATTTGATTCCACATGCAAGTTAAACTAATAAAATAATCAATAAAAAAAGAGACGTAACATAATCCATTTTACTATCCATTTCGGAGAAAAGAGTCCTCTATTTTGTCCGTAAGTGCAGATCTCACGCACAAAAATAAAATCGTCCAAATAGATTCAAGAGCGGTTAAAATGGATATTTTCGTGGAAATATCATACCCGAAATTTTTCGCGATTATTATACTTCCTTTACTTTGGACAAAGAAGTAAAAATGAACTCCAATTAATTAATTTGCAAAATTTCGTATAGAAAGTAAAGTTTATTTTATGAAGAATTCCTTCATAAAATAAATTATTTAATTAATAATTCCTTACTCTATACATATAATTCATAGTTTGCTTGGTAAGATGAATTTAATTCTTTGTTGTATATTAACAAATATTTTTCTCAAAACGCTTACATAACTTTGCACACTTCCACTTTCATTCATTCAATCTTAAAATACTTGTGCCGTTGCATAACAAATCTGCCTCTATTATCTGCTGTATTTGGTTTTCTAAAGATATCTATTGCAAATACAATTAATTTTTTTTCTTACGTTTTCATTGCATATACTTTTTAATTTCTCTAAATTGAAAAGATTAAAAAAAAAAAAATTTTGACTGATACAGGTGTAATGTAAAGTAACATACAAATACGATGCAACCCTCCTGACCGATAATAAAAAATCTCATGGTTAACGCAGCACACCCAACATACATTAAAACAAAAAAATACTGCTAAAACCATCAAATCAAAATCACCAATATTGTTCTATTGCAATTTATAAAGTTCATAAAATCCTGTGTAAATCTAAACTCTTTCCAGAGGCAATGGAATTCCTATATTTGTATGCTTTTCCTTAATATGACGCAATAATATGCAGTCTTCGAAGAAACCTGTGCATTGCCTTCAGCATTACAAAAATTACTAAGACTATTATTTTGTGTGTGTGTGTGTGTGCGTGAGTATTGCAAAGCCTCGAGGGCTATCTGCCTAAGAGGAGGGATGCCTTCGTGGAGGACTTTCTAAGGGAAACTGGCTCGTATACACGTTACACATGGGAAAAACCACGAAAACGCCCATGCAGCCAGCCCGTTCGCGGGATTCGAACCTCGGACCGAACTACCAGTGTTTAGCGACTTTACCGCTCGGCCGCTGGTGGGCACTATTATTTTGCAAATTAAACCTTTTAAGTACGCTAGGAAGCGTCCGTACATAATAATTATTTGATTGTAATCAGAATCATACATCATTCTCATATTTTTAGAAACTTCAAATAATCTTTCTTTTTCCGGCAATCATAATGGAAATCCTTGATTTTACCAATAATAATTCTTTTTGATGCTTGAATATTCCGGACATTACCTATAGCAGCCTCTTTGGCCATCATGTCGGCCCTCTCATTACCTATAGCAGCAATATGGGCTTTCAAATAGTTCATTTTCACTTTGTAAATTCTCAACTTTTACAAGATCTTTTATACAGATACAAATATTAGTGTTATCAGCATATGTTAGTCTTCCAAACCAGATAATGAGTCTGCATAGTATATATGTTTTTTCAGTCAGGTCTTCATCAATCCATTTAACACCAAATATAATAGCAGCCAATTCGGCTTGAAAACCGAATTGTAAGGTTCAAGTCTAATTTTGCTATAGTCTATTTCTGTACCAAATAAGTAAACCACATATACTGCACTGATTCCGTTGTCATAACCCGAACCATCCGTAAATATATCCAATTCTCCTATGCAAACATTTGTTCTCTGGCAGGATGTATACTGTTAATATTAAAACTAGAAACGCGTATTATATGCAGTAGAAACCTTCGTAAATAATAAAATGAACATTTTGTGATCGTAATTTAAATTTATCATACTAAAAAGAACAAATTATCGAGAGGCGTAGCAGGCATACCGACCAATATGCAAACGAATTCCGTCGAAAATAATCAAAAACTAATATATATCAGTAACTAATAATAATAGATATTTTAGAAGAACAAAAATAAAATTTTTAATAATTTTACCTCTAATTTCGTTTCTTCCAAAAGCGTGCATACTAAAACCATGAAAAAAGAGGTAAACAAATAGTATAACGTAAAAAACAATTTTCATAGTAATTCAGTTTTTTAGAAAGGTTTAAATTTTTCCACAAATAGTCAATTAGTGTTTAGAAAGGAGTATATTATAGTAAAAGTTTTCCATTTCAGTATGCGTTTATGAATAATATTTTGAGAATAGCAAAATTGCGAAATATGAGACTTTTAAACTCACATTTTCAGAATTACACAAGTACAGCGCTAGAACCTAACTGTAAATTTAAAAATTTAAAAATTGTGAATCTAAAATAAGGTCTCGTTGTAGCATAGTTTATTTATAATAACGTGCGAGTTGTTTCAACACTGCACAGTTTTCCTGTGTTATTAAAAAATTTTGTGATAAGTATCAGTGCTTGTAGTTTGTAGCGGCGCAAGTAATAATTATTTTTAATTTAAAATATTTTATATTTTTGTACCTGTTTAATTATTTTATGAAATTAACTATAATATTTTTTAATATTGATATTTATATTTGTTTCACTTTTACAATAAAACCTCCACTCGGGCTTGAACTTAAGAAACTAAGAACTAAAACTTAACTAATCTTAACTAAAAAGATATAACTGAAGCTATCAAGATTTTGACAGAGTTGGCCCCTGAATGCTAAATAACGACGAAGCTATCAAGGTCCTAAAATACGGCCAAGCGTAATAATAGCTTAAGAGAGAGAGTAGCCTAAAAAAGAGAACGCGCGCTAGTCAGAATCACTGGCTCTCTAACGAAGTCAGCAGAACTTCGCGGTTAAACACTTCTCCTCATTTGTATTAAAACGCGATTCTAAAAATACAAGTACGTTCTGGCCGGAAGTTGTAAGCTTGAAATTAAGGAAGACAGAAAAGGAACTTTAACTCAGAGTTTAACTGTTAGATAAATTAACATAATCCTTACAACGTCATTCTAAGTTACAGCTAATATTATAATTTAAAATAAAAGTAATATACATATTTAATTAGTTGCGATTGTTCCTACTTTTCAGTTGTAATAAAAATTTGAACACCAGTATTCAAATACAAGCACCAAAATTAAACATTGGTAGAGATACTTATATAAATTTCGGAACCATAAAAAAAATCATTAAATTAAATAAATTTTAAAAAAGGTCCATCGGTCATTCTTTAAAATAATTTTAACAAAGTGCGTAAAACACATTTTTCTTATTATCGCTTATATTAAATACACCAAATTTCCAAACGTACAAAATATAAGTTCCCTTATAACTGAGAAAATTTTGAATAAAAAACTCTAATGTTTTGCAGATATGATTAGAAATACGTCTACTTTAAGATGACGCTAAAACTTTTATAGGTTATAATACAAAAAATGTTTTCGAAAAATGTATAAAAAATGTTTTAAAATACAAATTTTTAAAATAAATAATAAAAAATGTGCGAATTATATTTTGGATCTGATTCTGGAAAAAGGAATCAAGTAAGTATAATAAAAAAAAAAGATTTTAATAAATATATATCAAATTCAATTATCATTGAGTAGGTAAAATTTCGAGAGCCAATTTTTAAAAATGTACTCGTGCGAATTTTACAAAACTTGGCAGTTTGACATAATTTGAGTCGTAAAATCGAAATATGGAAAAACATTGGCATTTAATTTTAAAAAAAAGTCCGATTCTGTGTCAAAATATAATTATTAAAACAATGCTATACATAAATCTAATACATATCATAAGTCGCGCTTTCGAGGCATGGGAAACGCAAGTTGAATTTTGTCAATCGGCGAAATAGAATGGGAGATACAGAACTGTCCTTTTTCTTTTGGCAGTGTACATACCAAAAGCGTACTAGTTGTTAGCTTAGTTAGAGTTAAATATGTAGTTGCTAGAATAGAGTTATAAATTGCTTTAAGATGGTTTCTTATGTTTAATTAAGTACTGCATCATACTAGAAAGCATTTACGTAAGGAAAGGACGCCTTCACGAATAACTTGAGAGAGAAAGCTGCACTCGCATTTACATTACGCATAGCTAAAACATTAACATTGTGTTATACCAAGATTACTGTTGAACAAGGTGTTGGTGCCGAACATAAAGGTTTGGGGGGTTGACATCACTAATTCAGTGCGCCTGAAGGACACTCCCTTTGTGTTTTTGTTTGTGTTCCTGTAAGTCAAATGATGACATTGTCCTCAAACGTCAAAAAAGAGGTAACATCATTTGTTTACTAACCTTAAGTAAAAAACATACTTAACATAAAAAACATACTCATACAACAAGTTCGTTCGTCGAGATTTGGAAGCTTGTCGAATTACTAGCAATCTTTAACACTGTTATCGAATCGGCCGTGGAGAGAGGAACGGGACTTTTTATATTAAGAGGAAAGGCCAGTTTATTGACTATGTTTAAGTGAAGAAATGGAAACTTATGAAACTGTAAACTCATTATGTATACATAATTTAAAAAAACACTGAAATATATTTGATTTGAGAAAGGCCAAACATTTTCAATATATAAACATGTTTACTTTGAGCTAGTATTATGACCTACACAGTATAAACTAAGAAATGTTAAAAATTTTATGACAAATGGATTAATTGTGACAGCGCATTGTTGCAAATTTGCATAACGAAATCATAACTCACATTAATATATGCGAAGAAATCGTAGACCCATTTCAATTAGCTTAATAAAGCAATTTATAAATATATTTTAAACGAAAATCACATCGAATTGTAGAGTGCTAAGTAGAAATTTTAACTGATATTATCAGGACTGGTATTCCTCTTTACTTGCCTTGGAAACATGAACTGTCCTGACTCGAAACAGGGAGCTTACTCAAGCTATGTTCAATAAATTGTGAAGTAGACAATACACACAGGAAGGGTGTACGAAACCCTTCATTTTTCTATCTTTACAGAGATTTCCGGACTTCGGAATACAGAGACCAACCACTTGTGGTCTGAACGTAAGAATATAAAAATATTAACTAAAACTCTAACTAAACTAACTTTGGATTAATATACAAGTGCCTACTTTAAGATTGGCCGTGAATTAACAAAAAGCCGTATGTAGTACAGAGAGCTGCTAAAACTACGATACGTTTAAAATTATCAAGAGGATTAAACCTCTGGCCTTGAAGGCAACCAGCAAGCGAGTAAAACTACTATGGCAAGCGGCCTGCTTCTAATAACTCCTTCCTCTCTCTTGCTTGGCAAAAAGCCACAACTTAAGTACTTGGCGTTAGCAAGACAAATTTGCATAAATAAGTTAAAAGCTTTTAATTGTGGCCGGAAGTAGAAAATAAGAAGTGATAGTAAAGATTTAAAATAAAATAAACGTTAGTAAAATTTAGGATCCTTACAATATATTTGAGGCGCCAAGCAATGTAAAGACATCTGTGATTAGCTAAAGAAAACGAAAATTTACAAATCAAGAACCAATTTTCGTTACTAATCTTATCATCTTAAACAAGTGGCTTAATTAAGTGGCTTGTAATTTACATTTAAATACCCAAACGATTATAATGCTGATAAAATTTCATCTAAAACATACACATTTCAAAATATCGCTGTGTATTCGTTACTTTATATTTAATTACCGAACGGTTATTCCCACGAAGTTTGGCCGTAGTGCTACTATTAAAAGCGCAACTGTTCTGTGAGTTTGAAGAAAGTTTCAAATATCTTCTCAAAACGGCTGGGTGTAGAGCTTAGCGGAAGGTACCGTTGGATTCAGAATTCCCGTGGCTCGCCATATTGACCATCGGCATCTTCGTGCGACTTTAATTAGCCGAGATATTAATTAAAAACTGCTTTTTCCCCTACGTTTCCCTACGTTTTGCACTTTCTTTCACCCGTTTTCCCTGTTTTAGGGATTTGGCCGAGTGCCAAATTCGTTTTTCTCGAATAACTTGGGAACGGCGCCGAGTTGGAATTCGAAACGCATATCTCCGGATTCGAAAAAAATCAACAAATCCATCGATACCGGTCCCATCTTCGTACGACAATAATCCGCGGAGTTATTAATTAAAAACTGCGAAAACAATAATTTCGGCACTCAGTCTTCCGAGTGGCAACAGTCTCGGCAGTCGTCGGAGATAAAAATGCTATGGGAACGCCAAGGCCGTTCGCCACTAACAAACTAAGAATAAAAAATTAAAATAACTTAAAGGAATAAACTGAAAAGCTAAAATAAAACTAAAAATAGAAACATTCTCTTCATTTAGTTGTCGTTAGTTGAATGTAGATTGGTTTATGCCCTTGATAAGTCGAGTAAATGACGTCATAGATAAAATAAAAAGTTTTGTTTCCCGGTCTGGCAACAGATCAAATAGAATCAAAAGTTTAGTTTCCTGGTTTGGCAACAAAAAATTTATTTACGAATTTTGGATTTGGAAGGAGACCGTCGCAATTTTTTCCAGCATTTCAAATTTCGTAAATATTCTTATTATTACTCATTGCACTTAATCTTTATTTCTTTTTACAGGATATTTGATTGTTTTTTGCATTTATATTTGTAGTTTTAGTAATTTAAAGTAGTATTTTAGACTTTTATATGCTCCTGTTAGTTTAGAACTTGAGAATTCTTCGGAACATTAACTTGGTGACTCTTTTTATATATTTAATGTATTATTTTGTATTTTTTTAAAGATCTATTCATTCGTGTTTTATATTTCTGTTATTGTTGCTCGATAAATTGCATTTACATTTTATATTTTTGACATTTTCCTGTGTGCGATAACAATTATCGTTTTAAGGCGATCGAATGTTCTATATTTTATTAGATTTGTTATTTTGTTAGGTTTGTTATTTGAATTTCAGAATTGATTTCAGAAGTTCCTAATTTATATTTGTATTTATACCTTTTATTTATTTTGTGTTTAGGTTTTCATTTTCTGTTTATGTGCATTGTTCTCAGATTGACCTAATTATTAGAAATATTTTCATAATTTTTATCTGTGCTTGGAATTTTTCATAATATTACCCATATTATTTCTTATTTGCCAGCAATTTTTTAACAGGGAAGTTTTTGTTTTACATTTTTGATTTTTTAAAATTAATTTGCTCTTAAGTGGAAAATTTTTCATTTAGTCTAGGATTATTTTAAAATTTGTGTTGTATACATATAGAATGCATTAATTTTTTTTCCAGCAGTATTGGTTTAATGAGCAATTTTTTTCTTTCATCTGCGTAGTCAATTTTTTGAGTCGAGT